ACCAACGGCCCGTTCGCTTTGACCCCTGACTCATTGAGACCCTGAGACCCTGAAGGATCGAAGCTGCCCGCATGCTAGCTCAACGGGCTCTACTCTATCGTCCGGGTTTGCTCGGACCATCCCTGAAGCCGAGCTCAAGTGGCGACGCCTGAAAGCGCTTGATCATGAGGGACAAGTGGCGACGCGCCCTTCGACTTGCTGCTGAGCTCGATCGCTGGCGTGCGACCCCAGACGGGAATCGACATGGTTCATGCTCTGCGTATAGTGCGCGAGAGGTGACCCTGGTGGCGCTTCGGCCCAGTGCACGTTGATCGGAGTCCAACGCCTTCGGTCTGATGCGCCCGCTTCCACACACATATTCACAATTACCCTGTTTCTGCCCACAAGCCGCTTCGGCAAATTTACGCGATGTCTATCAGGCGCCTGAGCAGGGAATCACGTAGATGGTTTTATGGACTACAGGATACAGACAGATATGATGCGTCTCGACAGAGGAAAACTGTGCAAGGGTTCTAGCGAGGGGACGAGGAAGCTATAGACCAGATAATTGCGTGACCAACGTGCGATCCAGAGATGGTGCTACAAGAGTGCGGAAGTGCTGAGACCTGGAGCGTAACGAAGACACTCGCTCAGTGTAGATGGGGAAAGGTCGAGATTACTCTGCGTCCCGACTGTTGCCAAAAATGTGTGAACGCTGGAATGCAAGGGCCAGATTGCCGACTTGACCCTTGGCGCGCTTAACAGCACCATTCTGATTAGAAACGCGTGCATGCTTCACCGCTTGTGGACTGTGACGCCGGCCTGGCATAGTGGAGAATTTGAAGGGTGGCAATTGGGAGGTGTTTGGATTGTCGCTAGCTTCGGATGGGCTGCAGCTGCCCACTGTGGGCTCGTACATCACTGCAGCACAATGGGGCTCTGCATCGTGTTCGGCGATCGTCGACGAAGCGGCGCCTTGCCCTCTGCTATGGGCTGCCCATTTGCCAGCGGGGCTTTGAAGCGGAAAGAGCGAAGGCCGCACTTTGCTCGAGGCGGTGCCGCTGTGCCCTACCTGGAGCTCTGTATTCTCGCGCAAAGGAGCATCAGAAGTGTTGAAACGAGGAGTTGGCGGAAGACCAGTGTAAGACGCAGAACTTCTTCGGCTGCTGGAACTGTGGCTGGAGGCGCCAGGCGAACTGTCAAAGTTGACAGAGCCGCGTTCAGAATCCGTTGGCGACTGAGGAGTTTGAACGACGTGAGCCTCGGCAGGACGCGAGAGGAAGGCTGCAGGACGAATGTGAGCGGCTGAGGCCAACTGGCCGGCCGAAGAGTCAGAGACGAGAGCCTGGCGAGCAAGTCTGGGCTGCGCGGCGATCGGATGTTGAGCCCAGTCGACGTTGACATCGCTAGAAGGCTGTCTGGAAAGAGCATCTGCAGTATCGTAGGTAGTCATAGCGTCGCTGTCGGTCCAATACTCGGGTGTGCCAAACGAGGTGAAGGCACCGTCAGAGTGCTGCTCAAGGTGGCACTCATCCGTCGACTCGGCGTTTGTCTGCGCCAACTTGCTGAGTGCGGCAGCTTCCTCTTCTTGGCGCCGCTGTGCTTCGGCGATCTTGGCATGCTGCTCGGCTTGGGCCAAGGCGCGAGCTCTGGCGGAGGCGATGCGCGCGGCCTCTTGACGCGAGGCCATTTCTGCGTTGGTGGCTGTGAAGCGCGAGATGTTGGCAACCATCTTGCGAAGTTCTGGCAACGTGCAGCGCCACTCCTCGCGGATGGTGAAGATGCGTTTCAAGAGCTTGTTCGTCTCGTCTGAGATTGGTAGAATGTCTTGCAAAAAGTCTGGGTTGCGAAGATATTCGCGGAAGGTTTCGTCGCCGGGGCAAGCCTGCTTCCATGGATTGCGACCGCAAATGAGGTTGACAAGAATCACTCCCAGCGACCAGACGTCATTGGCTGCGGTGTCGTACTCGGTAAGACGCTTTGTGATGCCACCTTGACATTCAGGACCCATGTAAAACGTCGAGCCGCATCCAAAATCACCGCTGAACTTGTCCCCAGTAGCCAGACCAAAGTCTGCGAGGACGACTCTTGCACCGCCTTGCAAGCAGAGAATGTTTTCTGGTTTCAAGTCACGGTGGTAGATCCCGAGACCGTGGCAGAACTGAACTGCATCCAAGATTTGGAAGAAGACATCCTTGACGAGGTGGTCCATATCACTACGGTCGCGCCAGTATGCTTCGCCTTCATCGGCGACGCGGGACACGCCGTCAGAAGACCTTCTCCACGTGGGCTGCGGCTGCGCGATGGCATATCGCTGCTGTTCCGTGATCATGCTGAAGAGGTCGCCGTCAGGACAAAAGTCCATGATGACATATACACACGGGTCGTCATCCGCGTCAATGACACGGTGAAGACCTACGACGTTCGGGTGATTCGAAGCGAGCGTGTGCAGAGTGATCTCTCTGCGTTGAAACCGTCGCTGACGTTGATCAAGGCCGACCTTGTTGAGCACCTTGACTGCATAGAATCCGCTTGCAGCTGCGCCATGAGATGACGCTAGCCGCATCGGCAGCTCGTTGCAGGAAGTCGAAGCGAACGGCTGTTGGTGGAGCGGGTGCGTCAAGTCGCGGGCGAGGTAGACGACACCGTAAGCTCCAAGGCCCAGGACCGATACTAGCTCCAGTCGGCCATCTGCAATGCAGTGGCCCAGCATGTTCTTATGCTGTTGCTGGGTGTTCGACATGATGGCTAGGGTATGTCGCGCCAGTGCGGAGTGGGGCACGGGAAGCTGTGATGCTGCGCTGCTGGGTGGCGGTCTGGCTGGCTGGCTGTGTTGGGCTTGAAGGGAGCAGCGAGATTTGACTGGCCAGTGGGCAAACCCTATTTGTACTTTTTCGACAACCACGACGCACTCGCTGGCGATGTGAAACACGGTTCTGCACTGATATGTGCGACGTGCAGTACGTGATTGTCAACGGTGTCGATGGTTTGCGAAAGAGAAGGGGCGGAAGCTTCGAATGGAAAGGTGAGACGAAGCGGTGATGGTGTCGGAATCAACGCTGTCGCGGAGGTAGATGGATGGAGCAGGAGCGGAAGTAGAAAAATGTCAAATGAGAGGCGAATCCCTTATAGGTACAGTCACAGCAAGGTACAAGGGCGCTGAGCAGTTTAGCGCGAATAGATCCGGGTCGTGGTCGCGAGATCTCCAACACTGTGCGGTGAGTACAGTGGTGTGTGGTAAGCAGGCTCTGGCGCAGCAGGGGCAGTGGCGAGTGGCTTTGGTGGCAGGGACGATCGCAGCAGTCAGGATCGGAAACAATCACGATTTGCGCTTGGAGAGGGAGGCGACGGATGCGCATTCAGGTCCGGGCTGGGTGATGTAAGTACACGGCGCGGCGGCTGATGCGAGCTTCGCAGGTTAAGCGAATCCTCGATCCCCAAAGGTGATTTGGCTCAAGATCGGTCGATCGTCCCGTGCGGGAGGGTCCATTGTGCAGCATCAAGCCAGGCACTTTAACGCGGGGAGACGCACGCTTTGGTTTGCAGCAGCAAGCGACTTCCTTGGCCCGTATGCATGCGATTTTGATGGTGTGAAACTCGACCGCAGGTCTTATTGCATGCATGCATGCATGCATGCGTGCATGCATCCGGACGCTCGATGCCCTTGGACGAAGCTGCTGCATCGCAGCGCAGCCAGCTCCCTGATCTCGATGACTCTCTTCCGGCGCGCGCGAGTCGGAGGCGAAGTTTTTCTCCCATACCTATGAGGGGCAACGTCGAAAAGCGTCCCACCC